ACCTTCACACTACTATCAATCTGTAGTTGTTCAGAATTATTTCTCATTGGTATAAACTAGATGCTAACTGAGAATTTTCAAACACTCTGGGACAGAGCCCTCAAAAGAAATTGACATGGCTCACACCTTGATTCCAGTCTTGTAGCCTCTAACCCTCAACCAGAGAACACATTTTTGTTCTCATAAGCCACCGAGTCTGTGTTGCTTTGAGAAAGTAGGACTCGGAAAGTAAGACAAGAGTGTTCTTGTAGAATCCCATGCTGTAATGAGAAAGATTATCTCTCTCAGGAGTGTCTTGCTTCCTTGAAAGGCCTCATTTACATGTTTCCAATCTGGGAGAAGTAGACGTGTGGATATTAAAGGTCACAATAAGGAAAGGATTTTCAGCACAAATACCAAGGAAAGGATTTTCAGCACAAATACCAATGAACATCATTCTTGTTATGAGAAACAAAGTAGTCTAAAGAATCAACTGGAAGTATCATTTCCTATTTCTCCCCAACCTGGTTCCCATCCCAGCCCTAGGTGACCTCTAATCTACTTTCTACCCTTATTGATTTGCCTGTTCTGGACATTTCAGTAGGCTCTTTCGTGACTTGCCTCTTCCATCAGCAAGATGTTCTCAAGGTAGCTCACCATCTCCTTCTTGAGTTTCCCCTCGTAAGGAGATGGAAGTCTTTCCCAGCCACATCTCACCTGACTTTTCCTTAAGATGCCTGGGTCTATACTGAGCTATATAATCAATTCCTAATCCAATCCCTGGCATACACTGATAGAAACCAGTCTGGGTGATGGGGACGGAGTTATCTAATCAGCTGCCATGGTAACCACAGGCAGACAGGGCTAGAAGATGAGCAGGGATCCAGGAACAGAATCAGGTTTCTGGATGCTGAAAAAGGCAGTCAAGTGCACATCGTACTTAAATAGTCCAATATGGTCATTACAGTGGAGCTTAAGAATCATGGTGGAAGGGGCTATGTGGACCTTTGGTTTATTTATTCTTTTTCAGTCTTCCCTTCTTTTGTCATGCACCTATGGTTGGCTCATGACTGCCCCTATGGCCAGCCACTCCATGTCCCACCCTTGCAATAAATTCTACAGCTGCCTTAGCTAAGCTGAGCAGTTCAGGGGGCTCAGGAAAGTGGCAAAGGCCTGGAGAAATGACTAAGAGATGAGATCCACACCACACGCCCTCTTTCTAGGAAACCAGTAGACAAGTTTGGCAGAGTATCTATGCTGTTCTGGCTTCATGTGGCCTATGTTTGTGACGGGGATGGAGGTGGCAAGAATACAGGTATGTGGGAGAATGCTATATACACAGCTGTATGTGTCTATCTTGTCAGTGAGCGAAAATACAAGATCTGGGGCCCCCTTAGACTTTGATTCTTTCTCCTTGGTTTAGACTTACAAACTTCTCGCAGTCAGGACAACCTGCTGGGAATATAAGTTCTCTCCTGTTGCAGGATCCTACGATCCAGTCTCACCCTACCTCTCGTCCTACATCCAGACAGAGGTCTTTTCCTAACATCCTCAGTGACAGATTCGGAGCAAAGAGAATCTTACCTCAGAATTGGTTCTGGACTACTGGGAATCAGCTGCATTTCAGGGTGCCTTGTCAGCATATTCAGGAGCCCTGATTGTACTGTGGGTTGGGCACTGGGGTGCTAACTGGAAGATTGGTGGTTCAAACCCACCAGTTGCTCAGAGGTAGAAAAATGAGGCTATCTGCTCCCAAAGGTCTACAGTCTTGGAAGCCCTATACAGAGTGGCTAGGAGTCAGTCAACTCCATGGCAGTGGGTTTGGTTTGCCTTTGTCAGTACATTGGGGAAAATTCTACAGATATTGGCATGTAGAAAGACTTTCAACTCTGGGACTATGAAATGTCAGTCAGCATATAGCCCCAATGCCCTCAAGGGGACATGGCATCATTATTGATAGCAAACTGGAGCGCAGAATTTCAATATGTGATGTGTTTCAGTAAACAGCATCACGCGTGGCACTGTGTTCATGGGAAAGAGACCCAGTCGCTGCCCTCGCAGGACAGAATTCTGTTCTCCAAGGGCCAGGCAAGAGCTGGAGACCCAGGCCACTTCCAAAAACCACTGCAGCAGCACTGACAAAAAGAGATCCCCGGGACGGACGGGAGAGCTTGCACATCTGGGCATCTCCTTGGCTTCGTCATTTGCAGGAATACATCAGGCTTCAGTCCTTACGGTCGATGCCTGCAGGGCGGGCGGCTCCAGGTATGGAAGGGGCATCTGTCTGCATCTACCCTGGTACTGAGGCTGCTCAGGACCCTACAGAGGAAGCTCTCGGGGACTCTCCCCAATGGTGAGAGGCGACTCAGCTGTAGTCCTTGACTCACAGAATGTCTTGGGACCTTCACCTAGCTTTTCGCAGCGGAACCCGCTCGCGGCGGAACCCGAGGGCGCCGGTCGCGGTTTCCCTTGAACGAGCGGGACCCTTGAGCGAAGACACAGGAAGGCGGACCACGATCGGGCTCGGCCTCGGTGAGTGCTGCGGCGCCGGGGCGGCTGCGGGGCGCGGCGCGGGCGGAGGGCCGGCGTCCGGCCGAGGGTCCCCGCCGTCGGGGTCGGGCTGCGGGGGCGGGGCCGGGAGCTCCGTGCGGCCCCGGGAACCTCCGTGCTCGCTGCGGCGTCGGGGCCTGGCTCCCCGTGTGACCCCCGTGCTCCCGGGGCGGAGAGCGTCTGCTGGGCGTCCGCAGCCGGTTCATTCATTCGGCGGCCTCGGGCTGGAGCCGGGGCGCTGCGTGCCCGGGAGGGTGCGCATCTAGGGGCGCCGAGCGAGTGCGGGAGGGAGAAGGAAAGGAAGTGACTTTTTCGATTACTCAGAACACACCCTGGAAGCTCGCGTATTGCGTTTTGAGAGGACAGGTGACGTGCTTGTGGGAGAGCGAGGAGGCTTTCTGCTCCCAGATTTACGGCACTTCAGCAGCAGCAGGGACGTTTATGGGGCGCACTGACAACCTGCCTCTAAAGGAGGCCACAGAGCAGGTGTGCCCCAGATCGCCGGTGTCACTTCACAGTCACCCTCTGTACAGACCCCCGTCCCCACCACACAATCTGTGCGGCCTTTGAGCCCATTGCTGCCCTGCCAGCCTCATCTCTTCTTCGTTATCACGAACCCTCTCCTTTAGCAAGCTTGGTACCCTTCTCCTGGTAACACGGAGGTAACGTGGTAACTCAGTCTGTTCCTTGTGTCATCGAGTGGGTCCCAACTCACAGACCCTGTCTGTATAGGGCTTCTGAGGAGCGGCTGGTGAGTTTGAACTTCCGAACTTACAGTTCAACCTTGTGATTGGCTGCTGGTCTTAAAGTAAGGCTCCACATCAGGATTCCAAAATGGCCAGTGTTGTGAAGTGCCGTCGAGTAGGTTCCGACCCACACTGACCCTGTGTAGGGTTTCCGAGGAGCAGCTGGTGAGCTTGAACCGCCGCCGTGCAGTTCAAACGGCTTTGCAGTCTGGCGCATTAACCCACAGTGCCACCCCAGGACTCCATTACTCTAGAGCACCACACCCGGCTTCCATCCTAGGCGTGGGTGGCGGTGGTGGTGGTGGTGTACGTGGAGTTGGTTGTGATTTCTTGCTGCACAGGGTTTCCAAAGCTGTAAATCTACAGCAGAAAGCCTCATCTTTCTTCCGGGAAGAGCTGATCTGAGATTAGCAGCCTAACTTGTAACCACTACACTACCACAGCTCCTCATCCTAGGCATTGGTGAACTGAAACCGAATGGTGTTGCTGTTGTTAAAAATTAAATGGGATGCTCAGTTTTTCTAGATTCATACTTAGTACTTTACATATGTCTTGTTGTTAGGTGCGGTAGAGTCAGTTCCTACTCATGGTGACCCTATACAGGGTTTCTGAGGCTGTAAATCTTTACTGGAGCAGAAAGCCTCATCTTTCTCCCGTAGAACAGCTGGTAGTTTCGAACTGCTGACCTTAAGGTTCGCAGTCCGATTCGTAACCACTACGCTACCAGAGCTCCTTAGGGGCTGTCAAGCCAGTTCCTAGTCACAGAGACCCGTGTACAACCCTCCTTGCAGTCCTTGCTGTATTTGAACCCACTATTGTGTTCGTCTTGTTAGGGATCGTCCTCTTTTTCACGGACCCTCTACTTTACCAAGCATGCTGTCCTCCAGGGACTGGCTCCCTCCTGATTCAAAAAAAAAGAAAAACCCCAATCCTTGGTGTGTGTGTGTATGTGTGTGTGCGTCTGCTCCTCTTTCTAAGGCATCTCTCCAAAGGGACTTCTATTCCTGGCTGTCCTCATTAACATAGCACAAGAAGCCCCCAGTTTCTCAGCAGGGTCACTACATAGGTTAGGGCGTCTCCCTAACTCTAGGGGACAGAGTTGAGCCTGGGACAGTCCTCTGCCTCCATCCCTCCTGCTTCCTGACACTCAGTACGTAACGTCTGTACACTGGAGAGTGGAGCGGAACTGCCCCACAGTGTTTCCAAGCCTGTCATCTCTACAGAGACTGACTGATACACCTGCCCCTTGCAGAGCCACTGGTGTATTAGAGCCGCTGACATCGGGTTGGCAAGCACGCACTTAGCCACTATGCTACCAGCACTCCTTTCATTGACATTTGTGTTGTTGTTAAGTGCTGTTGAGTCAGTTCTGACTCATAGCGAGCCTGTATAGGGCTTCTAAGGAGCAGCTGGTGAGTGTGAACTGCCAACCTTGCAGTCCAGCGCATTAGCCCGCAGTGCCACACCAGGACACAGGTGCACTACCTGTTCTGTCCTCCTAACACAAGGAGAAAAGGGGAGGGAGGAAGAACAAGGGATGTAAGTGGGTCAGCCCCAGTTTGTATAAAGCCAGGAGGAAGAAGAAGAGAAGCTTTGGGTCAGGGAGGCCAAGAAAGGATGTGGAAGGAGGGCAGGAGAGTGACGGGACCCCTCCTTCCATCACCTGACTTCTCCTCAGTTAACTTCTGGTTCTGGTTCCGCAGAGCCAGCACTCCTCAGGACAAGATGCCAGCCTTCTTTAAAACACTTCGGAGTCACTGGAAGAAAACTACCGCCGGAGTCTGCCTGCTGACGTGGGGAGGTCACTGGCTCTATGAGAAACACTGGTAAGTATCTTGCTGTCCCCACCTTCCCCGAAGAACTAAAAAGTCCCAAAGAGCCTGCAACAGAAATCCTGTTCCGCTGTGCTGGTGTCTGTAATACGCTGTATTGTTAGAGTATCCCTAAAATAAAAACAACCCCCACCACTTCTTGTGGTGACCAGGGCTGACTCAGTGGTACTTTGTAGAATTGTCCACACGGTGCTGCCCTGGTCAGCAAGCTGAGACCTGACCTCCTGACAGCAGGCCCTCCTGGGGCACCTGTCTCCTGGGATCCAGGATCCAGCAGCTCTTGGCCCAGCCTCCCTTTTTTATTTATTTATTTATTTATATTTTTCCCAGCCTCCTTTTTGTGATATGTCAGGATCGGCTTCCGCCCTCTGCTTTTCTTTGTGAATCAGGAACTGAGTGGAGCCTGGGCCCCTCCAGCCTCCAGGCCAGGAGAGAGCCAGAGAGGGCCTGGGCGCCTCTTGAGGTGGAACATGGTTTTTGAAGATTGAATGAACAAGAAATTTCTGTATAAAAATCACATGGATTATTAGGACAGCCAATCAGATTGCAGGCTTTGGGGGACTCAATGTCTTATAAGGGTAAATGACAAATGTCTTAGCTGACATCGCTGTTCAGTAGAACACAGGATGGTGGTGTCTGTCCGTGTTGGTCTGCACGTTGGAAAGGAGACCCACACTGGTGTGTTTGTGAGTCTTTTTGCTTCACCCCCATCAGGAATGACGTGGAATGGCACCTGCTTTTGCCGGCTGCATGGGAGGACAGCATTCCTCTCGCCTTTTCTCTCTAAATATTCTCAGGACTAAGCCTTCAGATGCCGTCAGCAACTATAGGGCAGAGCAGGCCTGAGAAACCCAGAGTCTGTAGAATATTAAAAGGAACCCTGGAAGTACAAACAAACAGATCCCCTGATGTCACCTTGATTCTGACTCCCAGCGCCCTCTGGGGCTTCTGAGACAGACAGGAAATCTTTATGAACAGACAGCCTCATCTTCTCCCACGAGTCACCAGTGGGTTTGAACCACTGACCTTGCAGTTAGCAGCTCTACACCTAACCCGTGGTGCCACCAGAGCTCTGATAAAAAGGCCTGGGTAGTAGAAGCATGTGGTAAACGTAATATGAAGTGTCTCCTCCCTTTTCTGATAGGAGCTGCATGCCCCATCAGAGTCGGGGCCACATGGGGGCTGGGGGTCCCTCTGCTGAAGCCTCATTGAGGTCTGGTCAGCTAGTGCAGAGAGACCACCCACCCACTAGGGATGGCTGCTGCTTCCACTCGGTGAGGATTTGAGGACTCCTGTGACCCTTGTTGAGGATGTTCTAGAGGGACTAGAATAGCTTCCCGCCAGTGTGCGCCTTAAAGAAATTAATACCAGGGGGCTTCGAAAAATTGGTAAAAAATGGAATTCACCAACTTTTTGAAGCCCCCGTTATCTAACAAAGCCTTTGTCCTCTTAACCATTTAGAAGTAAATTCAGGGATGCTGACTCTAGTCACCTTATTGCGCAACCATTTCCAAACGATTCTCATCCCCACAGAGACGCTCAGTGTCCTTTAGGTCCAGGCCAAGCTCGGGGTCCTGTCAGCTCGGTTCCAGACCTCTGCAAAGGTTGCAGTGAAGTGAGGCACACACAGGTTGGCTTGTTCCTTGGCACTTATAACAGAGATGCTTCCACAACTAAGTGTGCCATGTTGTTGTTAGGTGCCCTCGAGTTGGTTTTGACTCATAGCGATTCTGTGTAGGGTTTCCAAGGAGCATCCGGTTGGTTTGAACCGCCGACCTTTTGGTTAGTAATCCAGTGCTGATCCTACAGTGCCACAAACGACTCCTAGTGTGCAGTGTTGTTGTTGTGAAGTACAGAGTGGACCCCGTAGAGATAACACCCTAAGAAGGTTGGGGTGCTGTGAGAGAGACCAGAACGTGACAGAGACAGGAAGTGAGCGCACACTGAGGGCAGATGGTACCCATCGACCTGCCTGATGCAGGCTTGCCGCACATGTCCCATTGGTGACACGCACATTAGTGACACGCATGTCTCTACAGTACCTTAAAGCCTAGGGTCATGGCACACGCTGTCACTGCGCCAGCTCTCCTGCCTTGCGCCTTCTCAGGTTCTGCTCATCCCTCTCCACCTGCCTAGGCGAGAAGGTGCCCGATAGTACAGTTCACCTGGCGGCTCTGCTACAAGGCCCCCTGCCCATGTGCAGCCTCCCCAGCAGGGACTCTGCCCCCCAACAGAGAGTTGGTGTGCTGACCGCGTGGCCCCAAGAAAGAGGGTGGCTTGGGCTCGTTCAGCCTCAGGGTCTCCCTCTGTGACACGGGCACCTTAGCTCCTTCCTCGCAGGCCTTGCTGGAGGTGACCCGAGCCATCTGTGAAGTGCTCCGCCCTGGGCCCGACACTGTCTGCTAGTCACTGCGAGGGCATTTGAAGTCGTGAGGTCTCAGCACTCCGGAAGCGATAGCAGGTACAGCTGCCAGAGGCCTAGTAAGACAGGGTCCAGCAGGTAGTCTACCGAGACCCCAGTGGCTTATTCATGTCCCCTCTGTGTGAGAGGGCACGTGGAAGAGCGGAAGCATCAGGGAGGCATGTCCATGTGACGGAGGTTGTTGCTGTTCAGTGCCATCGAGTCGGTTTCAACCCATAGCGATCCTGCGTAGGGTTTCCAAGGAGCAGCTGGTGAGCTTGAACTGCCGACCTTGCAGTTCAATCTGACTTTTCACAGTCCAGCACATGAACCCACAGCGCCACACCAGGACTCCCCAGTTAGCGATGTGTGGTTAGAATCCCAGGTCATGTTTGTATTTCTCCTGTGCCCCCAAATGAGATGGATTGGCAGAACTCAAGCGTGGTAACAATAGTGAGGTTGGCCCAGGATCGGGCAGTGTTTCGTTCTGCTGTGCATAAGGTCGCTATGGGTCGGTGCCGACTTGGTGGCACCTAACAACAACAGTAATTCAGTATCACAAGTCCCACCGGGCTGTGTCTCCCTGTCCCCCGTTGGTCCTGGCTCTGAGCCTGTGCCCAGCTTCCCAGCCCACGCTGGGCTCATTATTGGATGGGCTCTGCTCTGCCTTGTGCTAACACTGGGTGAACCTGCTTCTGTGTCCACCTGGCCTGGGGCCCAGGGAGCATCTCACCTCCCAGCCTGGCCGGGACTTTAAAACACCGTACCTCCCTGGACATGAAGCTGGCAGAGACCCCTGGTTGAGGTAAGTGGTGGGTCTCCGTCTCCATGCCTGGCCTTCACTTGCACTGATGGGGGCCCACCTCTCAGACTTGTGCTCATGAGGCGGTGCTCAGAGGAAGCGGTGTGTGTGGTGTATCCTAGGAACTCAGTCATGTGACATAGGGCAGCTGGCAGTCAGTGCACCAGCCACGAGCCTGAGCTACGCTTGCGAACTCCTTTCATGCTCCTAACGGCCCTGGTGGCACAGTGGGTTAGGCACGGGACCACTAACCATCAGCCGGTGTATGAGTGAAAGAGGACATGGTCCTAACCCAGGGTCACTGGGTCGGGGGGCCGAAGGGGCGGGGTCAGGGGACTTGCCCCAGGCTCCTCTGCAGGAAGCATCAGTACCACTGTTCAGAGCAGGGCTTCCACTCTCCCCTCTGGATGGCTCCACTGAATCCTGTTTAACAGCACACAAGCCCCCACTGACAGACAGCTGGAGGGAGGGGGAGGGAATAGCTGCACATGCGGGTCACTGGCCGGGAATCAAACCACTTGGATTGGGGACTTCTGAGTCCCGAGAACAAGGCGATGGGCTGGGTGTTGGGTTGAAGGCTGGCTTCACACCAGGTCCCGAGAAGGAAAGTGGCCATGAGGCTGTGGAAGGAAGAGCTGTTGCGCATCATAGCTGTGTTGGGTTAGAGACTCCGACAGGGTATGGGCTGGGGGGTGTGCGCTGGACCAGGCCCTGTGTCTCTTTGGTCACAGTGTGGCTCCAGGGCATCTGTGCTACACATCTGGACCTCTGCCCTGGGGCCAGGACCTGGGACGGGGCTCCCTGTTCCTGGTGTTCCTGTGCTCAGCTTGGGGGAAATGACTAAGCCAGCAGTTTGCTTTCCTTTCCAGCCATTTCAAGGGTCCTCGTCCCTGTGTGCAGGCTGAGGCTGGAATTAGGGGTGTAAATGGGAGCTATTTAAAGAAGCCCCTTTATGGGTAATTAAATACCATGCCTGTCAGCCTAGGGTCATGGGATGAGGAGAGACTTTTCCTTTTCCCCCTCTAAGTGCAATGATGTTTAATTATACTCCTTGTTCCCCTAGATGATCAAATTAAACAGATTTCCTCGTAAAGAAATCATCATTCCATTTGCTTTCCCCTCACATGTGTGTTGGAAGGGCAGGGGGTGTATTATACATATTTATGTTTTGACATGACGTGTTTCTTAGGGAGGTCTGCATCAGTAGTCTCAGCTGCTCCAAGTGTTGACGCTGACGTCTCAGATGCTGACTGACATCTCTGCGATTTCATGGTGCAGACGAGCTGACACATAGCGTAGTGGCCACTGGCTTATGAGTGTGGAGGTCAGAAGGTGTGCAGCTCTGCCGTGTGTCCTGAGGATTAAGTTCTGGGGAGGGCTGAACAACAACTTTCTCATCCTGTACTGTCTTCTTGAGTAATGGTCATCATCTCCATGGCCTGTCTGCATTCTAGGTCAGTAAATTCAAGTACTTTGTGTGTAGTGGAGACTCGATCCGTATTTGTCTGTAGCTGTGTATGCAGATGTCCGGTGGCTGATGGAACAGAAAGAACTAGCGTTCTGGCTGCCCAGTAAGTCTATGCTGTTGTTAGCTGCCATCGAGTCAGTTCCAACTCACAGCGACCCCGTGGACACCAGAAGGGAGCAATGCCTCAGTCACTGCTCTGGTTGAGCCCACCACGCTGATTCAGTCCATGTCACTGAGGGGCTGCGTCTCTTTCATCCGTCCTCTACTTGAGCAAGTCCGGTGTCCTTCTCCAGGGCCTAGTCCCTCCTGATCACGTATCCAAA